AGAGGAGTAGGGGAGGAGGGAGGCTGTGGAGGCGCTTCAGCCAGGCAGTGAGCCGCCGTTTGCCTCGCCTCTGAGGCTGCTAGTGGGAACTGGTCCAGAAATGATTATGCAGGCTAGAAATATGCCTCTCGTTTTTTCTTTTTTGGCCGAACACCTTAGCTGTTGGGTTTGTGTGTTAAGTTCTTAAAGGGGTACCCGCACACTGTTCAATGCCATGTTTTGGGGCCTCACCATTTGTGCTGCATGTTTTTCTGTGTGGTTTTTCCTACAGGTAATCTACTTTGGGGCACATTTTCGGATGTGGGAATCACCTCTTGTGGGTACATAGATTCTAGAGCCAGGCGGACCTGAAGTCAAGGTGTAGCTTTACAGGCTTTACAGGTGATGACTGTGCTGATAGACAAATTGTTAGCCACTCTAAACTTCAGTTTTCTCTTCTGTTGAGTGGGGATAATAATGAACTTATCTCTTGCATTGCAGGGTTGTTGCGAGACTTGGGTGAGATAATGGCAATGAGAAGTGCTAAGAAAAGTTTAAAGCACCATTCAAGTCTTATTGTGTCTGTGCCCTTTACCCATTTTTTTAAAAATTATAGTTATAACAAGATACCCAAGTCTTCCCTATACCCACTCCTCACCAAGAATTTTGGCTGCTGGGTTTCTTTGGAGTAGCTATTTATCTTCTTTTTATTCTCTTCCTTTAAATCCATTTCTCTTTTGATGCTCCAGTCTTCATATTTATCTGAGGGAAGCAGTATGGATTGTTACCTTATCAATATTCAGAGTCCTGGGCCCCGATTTCTATTGACAAACAAGTCTGCAGACCCTGAGCTGGAGCTCTGGCTTGGCCTCAGGCTATGACCTTGAACTAAGGACTCAATGCCTCATTAGGGAAATCAGCCTGAGGTTGAGTCAATGCTGATCAGGGTCAAGGAGAGGTGAGGTAAGCTTAACTCAGTAAGGGTTTCATCAGTCTCCTGACACCCACTCCCCACCCTGCATTTTCCCTAATCCTAGGGCAGTGGTTCTCAAACAGGAGCATCAGAGTCATTTGGAGTACACCTATAGAATCACTGACTTATGAGATGAGAGAAAGAGAAGTGAGATTTGTTCTGAAATGCCATTATTTTAACATTTCATGTATAGAGACAGTGTTTTAGTAATTTGCTTAAAGCATTTTGTATTTCCAATACCTGTGCCACTTACCATTGTCCAGTTTTAATAATTCTGATTGCTTTTTAAATGAATTAATTTAAAAACACAAAAGATAGGATTCCTCTTTCTTTTTATACTGTAAGTACTTAGTCTTTGGTTTCTAGGTCATTCTTGGGTAGATTAGTGATCCTGATACTGATAAATCCAACAACTACCTCACTTTCTTTCTTTGGAGACCTCAGACATTTGTGGAGAGGCTGTGTAAAGTCTGGCAGCTTGAACCTTAAGGTTGGAAAACAGATTGAATTGCTTATGAGCAAGTTTAAAAAGAATTTGCAATGTGGTATCTTCTCTGAATGGACAACTTCTCTAGGCCTCAAGGGGAGGTGAAGTACATCCAGTGACAGATGTCCCATAGTAGTGAGATCTGGTGAAGGCTTTCCATTCCTTCTAGAGAATGTTGGTGTTGGCCGTGACTGAGCTCCTCTGTCACTCTCGGAGGGCGAGGAAGGCTGACTTTCAGGGACAAATGTGCAGTATCAGTGCTTCTCTGTGTGATTTAGTTTATAATCAAGCAATGCTTGGACACAACCCAATCTTAAGCAATTTTGTCCCCTAAGCTATGGTCCTGCCTGAGAGATGGCCTAGACTGTGGCCTTGAATTTTAGCTGCTTTGTATCAGAGAGGCTTTGGGAGTCTGCTTAAGTCAGGAGGGTTCCTGAGATGACATCTTAAGGCAGGAATAAGGTTTACGTAGCACCCAAATGGACTACGTGTACGAGGAGGTCAGCACTTTAACTAGTCTTGTGTTGCTGTGCCAAATGGAATCCCAGCGGACCATCCTGCTGCTTTATCTCAGCTTTCCATTTGTGCTTTGTTTTAGTTTAAAAATGATTAGCACTAGAGAAACCTATCAGTAAATCAGAAACCTATTCAAAAACTCAAGTGTAGCACTTAGTGTCTCAGTAGATAAAAGTGCAGGGTCCATGCCTATCTTCCTGACTGTAATCAACATTCAGTGAAGAGACGACCTTTGGGTTGTAATTCTCAAGATTCACTAGCTAATTTAAATGGTTTCTCCTACTTGACATGAGTAGAAATCATTTCTGTTTTAAAATTCTTTCCCATAACTAGATGTTGATATTTTGGGTGTTACCCCTACTTTTTGCTGCTAGGATTTTTTTTTTCTTCCAGCTTTTTCCTTATCACTGTTGTTCACTTTCCTCAGCATATGAACACTTGATATCTTTGCTCCCTTGAATAAGTCTGTTGTGAGACAGTCATTATGATACTTTATTTCATCAGGGCTATTGTCACTGGGTCATAAAGAGTCATGGCCCATTCCTGGAACACTGTTCTTCTCAACCTTTCTAGGGGGTGCTTTTTAACTGAAACTCAGGTCGTACCACACTAACTCAATTCTAATATACATCTTCTTTCACACTCTGTCATTTTCCAATATCAGAAATCCAGATGGGTCTTAAAATTATAAACACACTTAATGTGTGGTTTCTTTTTTCTTTTCTGTAACCTGGCGTGTTAATAGAGTGACTTCCAATTGATGGCATTTTAAAACAAAGCAAATTTGGTTCCGTAACCCAGTAGAAAATACGGTTTCTACTCAGTGCTGTCCTGCTGATAGAATTGAGTGGCTATTGAATTAGCTCATGTTCTCAGAGCATGTGGGAAGACTGATGCTGGGGTGGAGGCTAATAGGTGTGCTCCTGTGAAGGGCAAATCAGTTAGGAAGCACAGCCTACTGTTTTCCTCTCAGAGATTCTCAACATGTGCACCCTCATATCAAAGGCTCTGAGAAGTACTACAGTTAACAATAATCAGCAATAAAGAAACTTGGTTATAGTGGTTCAATTAAATGTTTCCCAGAACACAGAACATTTCTGATGTTTTGTGTGTATCTTCTAGGACCCCGCTGCTGAATTAGCACATTCCAACAATTCTAATAAGTTGTTTAACACCATCTGTGGATGGGAAGGTACATCCCTAAAGGAAAGGGAAGTTGTTAAATATGGATATTAATCGATTAATGAATTCTCTAGGTGATTACTGTTTTTTATTTCAGAGTAGAGAGAAAACATTTTAAGCTGTGGTGGCTTAGAAAGTCTCCGTGGAGGGGCTAGACTACAAAAATGCTGTCAATGATGAATGGCACTTTTGTGAGAGGAAAAGGGGACTTTTAGGTTGGTGGTGTAATGGAGCAAGAGTGTGAAGACTTGTACTTGTGTCTGCATATAAATAATCTTCAGAGCACACAAAAACAGCACTGTGCCTAGCACAGAGTGAGTCTGAGTGGATCTGTGTTGGTCTAAGAACCTATGGTTAAGTTTACTCTTGATTCTGTAAATTCACTGAAGTAGCAGATGAGTTCTAGTGACCACAAGAGAGCTAGTGGATCAGTAGGAAGGGAGGAAAAATACTCGGGTTGAAAACAAGGAGGGATGCATGGGACAGGGAGGGAGAAGGAATGTGTTCTTAGGCCTTTTGGAGGATAGTGGTACCAGGTACAGAGGAATTCATTAAAATGCAGGTCCACTGAAGAATATTGGCTATTTGGGGGAAGAGAGTTCTTGGAAGACCCCTAAGAAGAGGGATCTTAACTGGAGTTTCTAAGAATATCAAGAAGAAAGAACTTTTACGACTCAACAATAAAAAGGCAAATAACCCAATTTAAGAATGGGCTAAGGATTGAAGTAGACATTTCTTCAAAGAAGATATACACATGGCCAATAAACACATGAAAAGATGTTCAACATCATTAGTCATTAGGGAAGCGCAAATCAAAACTACAATGAGATTAACACATCACAACCACCAGGACAGCTGTAATAAATAAGGCATAATAACACATGTTGGTGAGGGTGTGAAGAAATCAGAACCCTCATACATTACACTGTGGGTAGGAATGTAAAATGGTGCAGCCACTTTGTAAAATAGGTTGTTCCTCAAAATGTTAACATAGAGATACCTCATGAGCAGCTTCACTCCTTGTTAGATACCCAAGAGAATATGTTCATGCAAACCCTGTATTCATAATATCATTATTCATAATAGCCAAAAAGTGAAAATAACCCAAATGTCTGTCAATGGATGAATGGATAAACAAAATGTGGTATATTCATACAATGTAATATCATTCATCTATAAAAAGGAATAGTTTTTGTGCTACAACATGGA